CCCACCAACCCACCCACCAACCCACCAACCCACCCACCAACCCACCAACCCACCCACCAACCCACCAACCCACCCACCAACCCACCCACCCACCCACCAACCCACCCACCCACCCACCAACCCACCCACCCACCCACCAACCCACCCGCCCGCCCGCCCCCGCCGCCGCCAAGGCGCTCTTCAAAAACGGCGCAGCGGCACGCCGGTCTCGACGACTTGGGAGACGGCCGCCATGCGGGAGGCCGGAGGCCACGGGATTCTTCCGTCCACGCGTTGCGGCCCTGGCGTTCTGGGCAATAAATAAAACTCGGGCGGTCGCTCGCTCACGTTTGGTGGCGAGGTGGTCATCGGCCGCACCCAAAGGCCCTCCCCGAATTAGTCGAGCATCCCACGAGATACTCGGGCACTCGGGCATCTGCTAAAGATGCGGTTCCCTCGGATGGGCAGGGTCTGTGATAGCCCCAACCCGACTACGGCTTGGGAGAACCTTCAGATACACACTTCTCAAAATTCTTAACAAGCGTGCTCTGTTGGTTAGATTTTAAACTAAAAGGAAGCTGCCATTCTTGTCCTCTGTCAATGACTTGGGCACTGACCAGGATCACTCCAGGGTAAATCTGCTCGCAGATGACACGATACTGACTACTGCTGGCCGCTCTCCGGATGACGTGATTGCTAAGCTACAGGGGGATTTCGACAAACTACAACATCAGCTAGTTGCTGATAAACTCGTCCCGAATACCTCCAAAACCAAGGCGCTATGCTTCTCACCGGGACTAAAGCAGGAAGTTATTTTCCCCCTTCGTATGAATATCGTTGCGTTAACTTTTAAGGACCTTTCCTCTCGCCGTGCATGCTCGCGTTACTCCGAGGAATAAGCGATTGTGCCGTTACCCGGTTAACAAACGTGACCGTTGAGGGTTAAATGTACGGATCAATGAGTGGAACATCTCCTGGAGTACCATGTTGAGCAAGCACGAGAGCTCGCATATTGGAGTGTGGAGGTTTTATTTAGATTTAAAGCTTTCGTGACTGCAAGGATTCATCTTCTTTGGTTCTTTCGGTAAAGTCACCGCCGTGTTGAATGAGAATAAAATAATAAAACAATAAAACTCTCACAACGTCTCGGCCACAACGCAAGCGGCCGTCTCCAGGTGAAAGGAACAGACCTGTCGGGACGACAGAGCTTCAATGAGCGATGTTAAGATTCGTAGCGACTTTTAAGCTGGTTTAGAGAGGTGAGGCAACTTGACAAAGGGGTTTACATATCAAACAGGAGAATTTAGCATTGATATAGCTGAGTGATTAGCTTGTGACTGGTCTTAGAAATAGCTACGTTAAAGTCAAAGCTTACACATCCACTCCCTAGGTCACTCTTCCATCGCTATCACCGCCCTCACTGATTCAGTCTCGCTCACCCACTCACATAGCCACACTCACCTCACCCACCCCACACACTCACCTCATCCACCCCACACACTCACTTCACCCAGCCACCCACCTCACCCAGCCACCCACACTCACACTCAACCCAGCCACCCCACACACTCACCTCACCCAGCAACCCACCCACACTCACCTCACCCACCCCACACTCACTTCACCCACCCACACTCACTTCACCCACCCACCCACACTCACTTCACCCAGCCACCCACCCACAACACCTCACCCACCCCACACACTCACCTCACTCACCCCACACTCACTTCACCCAGCCACCCACCCACACTTCACCCAGCCACCCACCCACACTCGCCTCACCCAGCCACCCGCACACTTCATCCACAACACCTCACCCAGCCACCCACACCTCACCCCAGCTAGCAGCACGACCTAGCCCCGCCCCTAACGGGCGACGTTTCAGGCGACACGCCTCGTTCAGGGACAACTTCCCCATACGCCTCGCACTTGTGTCCCGGGGCTGTGGGACGCTCGCAGCAGCAGGAGGATTGGTGAATCCATCCGTGCGGCTCCCGAGGGACGTTTGGTTTGCTGTGGGGTTTCACTGCGTGAGGGAGTGGACACCCAACAGCCACACACCCCCTTTGAGGTGACCCGGGGAGGGGATACACTCACCACTCACCACCTACTCACCACTCACCACTCACCACACCACTACTCACCACACCACCTACTCACCAGCACACCACCACCTACTCACCACAACACTCACCACCTACTCACCACAACACTCACCACCTACTCACCACCACCACTCACCACCACCACCACCTACTCACCACCACCACACCACTCACCACCACGCCAACGCACCACACACTACCACCTACTCACCACCACCACCACCACCTACTCACCACCACCACACCTACTCACCACCACCACACCTACTCACCACCACCACCTACTCACCACCACCACACCAACTCGCCACCTAACCAACGCACCACACACTACCACCTACTCACCACCACCTACTCACCACCACCCCCACACCACTCACCACCACACCAACTCGCCACCAGCCCCACACCACTCACCGTCTCGGCTGGTCTCTGCTGCAGGAATCACAGCTCGCACGAACCGGGCACTGCCTCATCTCTACAACAACAACATCCACAACAACATCCACAACAACATCATCAACATCCACAACAACATCATCAACATCCACAACATCATCATCAACATCCACAACAACATCATCATCCACATTAACAACCACATCCACATCAATGTGCCCCCCCCGCCCACTCACCCCCCCCCTAGCGTTGTCCTCCCTGTGGGGGCCCAGGGGGGGGGGGGCACTGCACCGCCCCTCCCCCACCCCAGGGAGGCGACGACGTCGCTGCTCTGGGGCCACGTCCACGGCGGAGACGGAACGGGAATCCAAAACCTCCACCTTGGTAAGTGGCCCAGCCTGAGGCGGTGGTGACTGTGGTGGTGACTGTGGTGGTGGTGGTGGTGACTGTGGTGGTGGTGACTGTGGTGGTGGTGACTGTGGTGGTGGTGACTGTGGTGGTGGTGACTGTGGTGGTGGTGACTGTGGTGGTGGTGACGGTGGTGGTGGTGACGGTGGTGGTGGTGACGGTGGTGGTGGTGGTGACGGTGGTGGTGGTGGTGACGGTGGTGACGGTGGTGACGGTGGTGACGGTGGTGACGGTGGTGACGACTGTAGTGATGGTGGTGGTGGTAGTGATGGTGGTGGTGGTAGTGATGGTGGTGACGGTGATAGCGATGGTGACAGTGGTGGTGATGGTGATGACAATGGACTCACTCCCTCCCCCACAAAGGATTTAACCCACCCACAACCCCCCCCCCCAGACCCACACCCCCCCCCACACCCCCCCCCCACACCCACCAGGTTCACCACCGCCATGCTGAGTGGGAGGCCTCCATCACCGTCCTCTTGGGCCCCCTTCCACGGTGCCACGCCGGGAGATCATGCCACCCGTCGCCTAGCAACGGGACACAGCCCATGGAAACGCTGTTCAGTGGTTGCCGTGGCGATGATGGTTGCCGTGGTGATGGTTGTCATGGTGATGGTTGTCGTGGTGATGGTTGTCGTGGCGATGACGGCCGCGATGGTGGTGGTCATGATGGTTGTCGTGGTGATGGTTGTCATGGTGATGACGGCCGCGATGGTTGTCGTGGCAATGACGTGGGTCTGGGGATGTTGTTGACGATGGTTGCCATGGTGATGGTGGTGGTCGTGATAGCGATGGTTGCCATGGTGAAGTTGAGGCATTAACAAAAACATTCCAACCACCACACAAGCACCATCAAGGATAAAGGTCCCCCGTGTAGCCTCTAACAGGCTAGGGGCAAGTGCTCTTAGCGAGCAGCACCTAGAGACACACAGACAAAGGTCCCCCGTGTAGCCTCTAACAGACTGTAGGGGCAAGTGCTGTTAGCTTGCCCCCTATGAAGGCCGGCACGGTGGCACACGAGGGGGTGGGTGGCCAGCACCACGCCCGGCCGCCTTTGTCTCTCCCCGGTGCTAGCGATGTTCACTACAGCACCGCTACACCAGCTACTCAATTGAGGCCGAGTCGAACTAGGGGAGGCCCAGGACCGGTTCGGATAATCGTCGCTGGTGTTGGCCGTGAGCGGGAATGGAACTCGGGTCACCGGGTTCGTAGCGTTAACAAACCACCACCACCACAATCACCACCCACACCACCACAATCACCACCCACACCACCACAATCACCACCCACACCACCACAATCACCACCCACACCACCACAATCACCACCCACACCACCACAATCACCACCCACACCACCACAATCACCACCCACACCACCACAATCACCACCCACACCACCACAATCACCACCCACACCACCACAATCACCACCCACACCACCACCACCACCACCCACACCACCACCACCACCACCCACACCACCACCACCACCACCACCCACACCACCACCACCACCACCCACACCACCACCACCACCACCACCCACACCACCACCACCACCACCACCCACACCACCACCACCACCACCACCACCACCCACACCACCACCCACACCACCACCCACACCACCACCCACACCACCACCACCACCACCCACACCACCACCACCACCCACACCACCACCACCACCCACACCACCACCACCACCCACACCACCACCACCACCCACACCACCACCACCACCCACACCACCACCACCACCCACACCACCACCACCACCCACACCACCACCACCACCCACACCACCACCACCACCCACACCACCACCACCACCACACCACCACCACCACACCACCACCACCAACACAACAAACACCACCACCAACACCCCCACCACCACCCCCACCACCACCCACACCACCACCACCACCCACACCACCACCACCCTCACCACCACCACCACCACCGTCACCACCAACCACACCACCACCACCACCCACACCACCACCCACACCACCACCACCACCACCCACACCACCAACACCACCACCTACACCACCACCACCACAATCACCACCCCCACCACCACCACCCCCAGGTGTGCTCCCTGTAGCAGCTGAGATACCAGGGCCGGCGAGGTACGACAGAGACCTGGCGCCCAACGATGCCACGACTTGCTCCTTGCTCTGGCACCAGATTCGAGCGCCGGGCCCACGGGGAAGGGCCCGGCACAGATACCGACGGTGCACTCGGCGGTGACGCCGGGGAAGGGGGAGGGGAAGGGGGTTGCCAGCCTTCACTCTCAGTCTCTACCCTACTCGTGGTGGTGGTGGTGGGGGTTGCCAGCCTTCACTCTCAGTCTCTACCCTACTCGTGGTGGTGGTGGGGGTTGCCAGCCTTCACTCTCAGTCTCTACCCTACTCGTGGTGGTGGTGGTGGGGGTTGCCAGCCTTCACTCTCACCTCTACCCTACTCGTGGTGGTGATGGTGGGGGTTGCCAGCCTTCACTCTCACCTCTACCCTACTCGTGGTGGGGGTTGCCAGCCTTCACTCTCAGTCTCTACCCTACTCGTGGTGGTGGTGGTGGGGGTTGCCAGCCTTCACTCTCAGTCTCTACCCTACTCGTGGTGGTGGTGGTGGGGGTTGCCAGCCTTCACTCTCAGTCTCTACCCTACTCGTGGTGGTGGTGGTGGGGGTTGCCAGCCTTCACTCTCAGTCTCTACCCTCCTCGTGGTGGTGATGGTGGGGGTTGCCAGCCTTCACTCTCAGTCTCTACCCTACTCGTGGTGATGGTGGGGGTTGCCAGCCTTCACTCTCAGTCTCTACCCTACTCGTGGTGGTGATGGTGGGGGTTGCCAGCCTTCACTCTCAGTCTCTACCCTACTCGTGGTGGTGAAGGGGGTTGCCAGCCTTCACTCTCACCTCTCTACCCTCCTCGTGGTGGTGATGGGGGTTGCCAGCCTTCACTCTCAGTCTCTACCCTACTCGTGGTGGTGATGGGGGTTGCCAGCCTTCACTCTCAGTCTCTACCCTACTCGTGGTGATGGTGGGAGTTGCCAGCCTTCACTCTCAGTCTCTACCCTACTCGTGGTGGTGATGGTGGGGGTTGCCAGCCTTCACTCTCAGTCTCTACCCTACTCGTGGTGATGGTGGGAGTTGCCAGCCTTCACTCTCAGTCTCTACCCTACTCGTGGTGATGGTGGGGGTTGCCAGCCTTCACTCTCAGTCTCTACCCTACTCGTGGTGGTGATGGTGGGGGTTGCCAGCCTTCACTCTCAGTCTCTACCCTCCTCGTGGTGGTGGTGATGGGGGTTGCCAGCCTTCACTCTCAGTCTCTACCCTACTCGTGGTGGGAGTTGCCAGCCTTCACTCTCAGTCTCTACCCTACTCGTGGTGGTGACAGAGGTCGTGGTGATGATGGTGGCTGTGTTGTGACTACAGTGGTGGTGGTCGTGGTGATGATGGTGGCTGTGTTGTGACTAGTGGTGGTGGCGGTCGTGGTGATGATGGTGGCTGTGTTGTGGCTACAGTGGAGGTGGTGACAGCGGTCGTGGTGATGATGGTGGCTGTGTTGTGGCTACAGTGGTGGTGGTGATGGTCGTGGTGATGATGGTGGCTGTGTTGTGACTACAGTGGTGGTGGTCGTGGTGATGATGGTGGCTGTGTTGTGGCTGGAGTGGTGGTGGTCGTGGTGATGATGGCTGTGTTGTGGCTACAGTGGTGGTGACAGTCGTGGTGATGATGGTGGCTGTGTTGTAGCTACAGTGGTGGTGGTCGTGGTGATGATGGTGGCTGTGTTGTGACTACAGTGGTGATGGTCGTGGTGATGATGGTGGCTGTGTTGTGGCTACAGTGGTGGTGGTCGTGGTGATGATGGTGGCTGTGTTGTGGCTACAGTGGTGGTGGTCGTGGTGATGATGGTGGCTGTTGTGGCTACAGTGGTGGTGGTCGTGGTGATGATGGTGGCTGTTGTGGCTACAGTGGTGGTGGTCGTGGTGATGATGGTGTATGTGTTGTAGCTACAGTGGTGGTGGTCGTGGTGATGATGGTGTATGTGTTGTAGCTACAGTGGTGGTGGTGACAGCGGTCGTGGTGATGATGGTGGCTGTGTTGTGACTACAGTGGTGGTGGTCGTGGTGATGATGGTGGCTGTTGTGGCTACAGTGGTGGTGGTCGTGGTGATGATGGTGGCTGTGTTGTAGCTACAGTGGTGGTGGTGATGGTGGCTGTGTTGTGACTACAGTGGTGGTGGTGATGGTGGCTGTGTTGTGACTACAGTGGTGGTGGTCGTGGTGATGATGGTGGCTGTGTTGTGGCTACAGTGGTGGTGGTGATGATGGTGGCTGTGTTGTGGCTAGTGGTGGTGGTGGTCGTGGTGATGATGGTGGCTGTGTTGTGACTACAGTGGTGGTGGTCGTGGTGATGATGGTGGCTGTGTTGTGGCTACAGTGGTGGTGGTCGTGGTGATGATGGTGGCTGTGTTGTGGCTACAGTGGTGGTGGTCGTGGTGATGATGGTGGCTGTGTTGTGGCTACAGTGGTGGTGGTCGTGGTGATGATGGTGGCTGTGTTGTGACTAGTGGTGGTGGTGGTCGTGGTGATGATGGTGGCTGTGTTGTGGCTACAGTGGTGGTGGTGGTGGCTGTGTTGTGGCTACAGTGGAGGTGAAGGAGCAGGAGGCGTGGATCCGGCGTCTATTTTGAAACCGCGGGCGGAGAGAGAGGGGGTCTCACTCACCGCTCTGCTACTTACTACAAGCACTGTCTGGCAGTAGCACCACCCCACCATCAACAACAACACCACCATCAACAACAACACCACCATCAACAACAACACCACCCCCCCCCACCATCAACAACACCACCACCACCACCACCAACAACACCACCACCAACAACAACACCACCACCAACAACAACACCAACCCCACCACCAACCCATCACACCACACCCCACCAACAACACCACCACCAACCCATCACACCCCACCACACACCCCACCATCAACACCAACCCACGACACACCCCACCATCAACAACACCACCAATCCACACGACCAACCAACCCATCACACCACCACCACCACACCACCACAAAGCGCTTTTGCCACAAGTGCAAAGCCAAAGGGGGCAGCTCATGGTCTAGACACGGTGGTCCTCACGCTCGCCCCCTCACGCTCACCCCCTCACGCTCACCCCGTCGTGTTCAGAGCCGCCCAGCACCCTCCCGGCAGAGGCTCACCCCGCGTGGCTCACACCGCGTGGCTCTTCGTTGTTTCTGGGGGAGCCCCCGGGGTCGAGATTCAAGCCCCTGGCTGCGCCAGACGGAGATTTGCCCAGGAGACGTCACGGACGCCTGTCCCCCCGGGGCCTCCTCCTCCTCCTCCGCTGTGGCTGCTGTGGTCCCTGCAAGCACCATGGGGGGGGGAGGGGGGGGGTACAGCCGGTGGGAATTGGCATTCACTCCATCACACAACCAACAACCACCACAACCACCGTCACCACGTCGTCCGTCACCCCTACCACCACCACCACCACCCCCCCTCACCACCACCACCACCACCACCCCCCCTCACCACCACCACCACCCCTACCACCCCCCCTCACCACCACCCCCCCTCACCACCACCACCATCACCACCCACACCACCACCACCCCCAGGTGTGCTCCCTGTAGCAGCTGAGATACCAGGGCCGGCGAGGTACGACAGAGACCTGGCGCCCAACGATGCCACGACTTGCTCCTTGCTCTGGCACCAGATTCGAGCGCCGGGCCCACGGGGAAGGGCCCGGCACAGATACCGACGGTGCACTCGGCGGTGACGCCGGGGAAGGGGGAGGGGAAGGGGGTTGCCAGCCTTCACTCTCAGTCTCTACCCTACTCGTGGTGGTGGTGGTGGGGGTTGCCAGCCTTGACTCTCAGTCTCTACCCTACTCGTGGTGGTGATGGTGGGGGTTGCCAGCCTTCACTCTCAGTCTCTACCCTACTCGTGGTGGTGATGGTGGGGGTTGCCAGCCTTCACTCTCAGTCTCTACCCTACTCGTGGTGGTGATGGTGGGGGTTGCCAGCCTTCACTCTCAGTCTCTACCCTACTCGTGGTGGTGGTGGTGGGGGTTGCCAGCCTTCACTCTCAGTCTCTACCCTACTCGTGGTGGTGATGGTGGGGGTTGCCAGCCTTCACTCTCAGTCTCTACCCTACTCGTGGTGGTGATGGTGGGGGTTGCCAGCCTTCACTCTCAGTCTCTACCCTACTCGTGGTGATGATGGTGGGGGTTGCCAGCCTTCACTCTCAGTCTCTACCCTACTCGTGGTGGTGGTGGGGGTTGCCAGCCTTCACTCTCAGTCTCTACCCTACTCGTGGTGGTGGTGGGGGTTGCCAGCCTTCACTCTCAGTCTCTACCCTACTCGTGGTGGTGATGGTGGGGGTTGCCAGCCTTCACTCTCAGTCTCTACCCTACTCGTGGTGGTGGTGGGGGTTGCCAGCCTTCACTCTCAGTCTCTACCCTACTCGTGGTGGTGAAGGGGGTTGCCAGCCTTCACTCTCAGTCTCTACCCTACTCGTGGTGGTGATGGTGGCTGTGTTGTGGCTACAGTGATGATGGTGGCTGTGTTGTGGCTACAGTGGTGGTGAAGGAGCAGGAGGCGTGGATCCGGCGTCTATTTTGAAACCGCGGGCGGAGAGAGAGAGAGAGGGGGGGAGGTCTCACTCACCGCTCCGCTACTTACTACAAGCACTGTCTGGCAGTAGCACCACCCCCCACCATCAACAACAACACCAACCCATCACACCACCCCCCACCATCAACAACAACACCAACCCATCACACCACCCCCCACCATCAACAACAACACCATCAACAACACCATCAACACCATCATCATCACCCCACCAACAACACCACCATCAACAACACCAAACCATCACACCACCACCAACCCACCACTACACCACCCCCAACCCACCACCACACCACCACAAAGCGCTTTTGCCACAAGCGCAAAGCCAAATGGGGCAGCTCATGGTCTAGACACGGTGGTCCTCACGCTCACCCTCGCCCCTCGTGCTCGCCCCTCACGCTCGCCCCTCACGCTCACCCCGTCGTGTTCAGAGCCGCCCAGCACCCTCCCGGCAGAGGCTCACCCCGCGTGGCTCACACCGCGTGGCTCTTCGTTGTTTCTGGGGGAGCCCCCGGGGTCGAGATTCAAGCCCCTGGCTGCGCCAGACGGAGATTTGCCCAGGAGACGTCACGGACGCCTGTCCCCCCGGGGCCTCCTCCTCCTCCTCCGCTGTGGCTGCTGTGGTCGCTGCAAGCACCATGGGGGGGGGGGGGGGAGGGGGGGTACAGCCGGTGGGAATTGGCATTCACTCCATCGCACAACCAACAACCACCACAACCACCACCACCGTCACGTCGTCCATCACCACCACCTACACCACCACCCCCACCTACACCACCACCACCACCCACACCACCCACACCACCACCACCACCACCCACACCACCCACACCACCACCACCACCACCCACACCACCACCACCACCACCACCACCCACACCACCACCATCACCACCCACACCACCACCATCACCACCCACACCACCACCACCACCACCCCCAGGTGTGCTCCCTGTAGCAGCTGAGATACCAGGGCCGGCGAGGTACGACAGAGACCTGGCGCCCAACGATGCCACGACTTGCTCCTTGCTCTGGCACCAGATTCGAGCGCCGGGCCCACGGGGAAGGGCCCGGCACAGATACCGACGGTGCACTCGGCGGTGACGCCGGGGAAGGGGAAGGGGGTTGCCAGCCTTCACTCTCAGTCTCTACCCTACTCGTGGTGATGGTGGGGGTTGCCAGCCTTCACTCTCAGTCTCTACCCTACTCGTGGTGATGGTGGTGGGGGTTGCCAGCCTTCACTCTCAGTCTCTACCCTACTCGTGGTGGTGATGGTGGGGGTTGCCAGCCTTCACTCTCACGTCTCTACCCTACTCGTGGTGGTGGTGGGGGTTGCCAGCCTTCACTCTCACCTCTACCCTCCTCACAGTGAGTCTACGTGTGTGTGTGTGCGAGTCTACGTGTGTGTGTGTGTGAGTCTACGTGTGTGTGTGTGAGTCTACGTGAGAGAGTCTACACGTGTGTGTGTGAATCTAAGCGTGTGCGAGTCTACGTCACATTGACACACACCATCATCACCATCTCTCACCTCCAAAGCCTCTCCATCCTCCTCCAAGCCCAGAGTCCATCTCGTGGCAATGCGGGTTCCTGCAGTCAAGACGTCAACAACAACAGCAGCATCACTACACAGTACACACACACACACTAGCAGCATCACTACACAGTACACACACACACACACTAGCAGCATCACTACACAGTACACACACACACACTAGCAGCATCACTACACAGTACACACACACACACTAGCAGCATCACTACACAGTACACACACACACACTAGCAGCATCACTACACAGTACACACACACAC